ATAATCAACCATCTCACAACAACAACGAGATGCAATCTGATAGAAATCTTCACAGTCATAAAAGAAGTGGATCCTCCTCATCATCAACAACATCCACTAGTTCCGGTACAAGTTATGAAGATGAAGAAGAAGACATCAATTCGAATAATACTCGTATGCATACCAGTTTAGAAATTGCTGTACTTCTCTCATTATTTCGACATCGTCATTCATTATCAAAATCTTGTCTCACCGATATGTGTCGTTTATTACGTCTACTTGGCGTGCCAAATGTCCCTGTTGATTATAGATCGATCTATAAATTAATTAATCCATGTGGTAATTCAATGTTTCAACCGAAACTTACAGTTGTTTGTCCTACATGCCATAGAGTCAGTATGAATATGAAAAAATGTCCGATAACACATTGTAACAGTCATGCCGGTTACGTTCGAGCACCAACTGTGAATTATACATTTAAACTTCGTGAACAAATTAAATCTATTTTAGAACGTGTACCTTTGACATGTATTGGAACAAATGATGGTCATATGACTGATGTTATTGATGGACGTGCGCACGCGCATATTCACACATTGGAAAGAAAACCATTTATAACATTAATTCTTAATTCTGATGGTGTATTAATTCAAAAAATTTCGCGTTCATTATGGATAACTACAATGGCAATCAACGAAATTCCACGTGATGTTCGTTTTCAATTGCCAAACATGGTAATTGGTATGGTTTCTTATGGTTCCCAAAAACCAAAACGAGCGGAATTTTCTTCATTGTTAGACATTCTAGTCGATGAATTAGTTGAATTAGAACATGGAATTGATGTATGTTTACCATCACCAGGTGGTGTTCGTTTTGCATCAAGCCTTATTAGCACTCACGTTGCTGTTAATTTACTTGGTGTTGTTTCAGATAAACCAGCTCAATCCATGATCCAGAACATGATTGATAGTGGAGGGTTTTATGGATGTGGGAAATGCCAAATAGTTGGTAAGAAAATAAAACTTGTTTAAAAGACTTATTTCACGTAAAGAACTACATTTTTTCGATGTATTAAGGTGAAAGTGTACGTGCAGGAAAAGGGCACATTCGATGCTTTCCATTAGATACAACAAATCCACCTGATCTTCGTTCAAACAAAACCTATGATCAGGCTATGAAAATCTTGACCAAAGTTTACAAACGAACCTCTTTGTATTTTATTCATAGTTTCTTTTTATTATATAATAGAATAAACAACAACGTGCATGTCGAAATTCTTTAACAGGTGCTTATAACGATGCAGCTAAAGGACATGTTGGTCCATGTGCATTAAGAAGACTTCGTTTTTTTGATATGGGACAGTCCTTTTTAATCGATTCATTACATAACCTGTATTCAGGTGCTTTTGTAAGTGTCTCTACCACTGTTTTCTGTTTTTCTAGAACAGTCAATTTCGATTTTCAAAGGGAATTTATCAGTAGCTGGTCTTAATAGATTCAATGAAATCATTCATCAGATTTATATTTTGCTTATAGTGACGACTTTCACTATATTAAAGTTTCTGATTTGAAAAAAATCTATTACTTTTTCTGTATTTCAAGAAAGAAACATGTTTAGTTACAATTATCGTCCAAATAACTATTTTCCGCTAGTAAACTTCTTATTTTATTTAAAAGAACCAATATCGTAACGCATTTGCTATACAAAAATAAAATTAATCAATAAATTCCTTAACTTAGAAGGACGTTTAGAAGCTAGATAAAGTAGAAATGTCATTTTTTTTTTCGTTACCTACTCTACGTAATCTACTCCGTCATTGATACATTACATAAATCAATACTATCGTTAATTCAGTTTTCTGTAGCATACAAGAGACTGTTAATTTTGTGCTGATCATTGTTATTATATAATCTAACGTAGTTTTGTTTTAATATTAATTTTTCTTTCTCTATAGCTCAGACTACTTAAAATTTGGTTAGAGGCACCATCGAATAGAAAAAATACTACAATTAGTATGAGAATTTTTAATCAAAGACAAGAAGTTGAAATTGCTTTCGATTCCATTCTCTTTCCGGCTTCAACGTACAGAGTGCCAAGACACCTGAAGCATTTCAATCAATATAAAGGAAATGAATTAAGACTATGTCTTTTAATGGGTTATAAGTGAGTGTTGATGTACTAGCTTTGATCCAATAAAATTGTCTTTCACATATTTTTTTAGCTGCTTCCAATTTGCATTAAACAACAACCAATACAAACATTTGCAAGCATTAGCCTTTGCCCTGCATCTAGCAGAATCAAGAAATATTGACGACGAGATGGTCGAGAAAATTGATGTATTGCTTAAATACTTTAACCAAGAATTCGAACATTTATATACAGTAAGCATCCGATTAATAAAAATAGTACATTATCTTAATATCCAACTGTAACTATTCTAGAAACGTCACATTGTATCTGTCGTACATTCGGTTGTTCATGTTGCTGCATCTGTTCGTGAATATGGACCGATTATGAATTATTCAACATTCAATTTTGAATCACTAATCGGTATGTATGTATATTCTCGTAATTATGTGAGGGAGATTCATTAGAACCTTGAATAAACATACTCTTTTCTAATGATAATCAAGAAAAATGTCGATTCGGATTATTCGAACAGATTGAAATAACATACGATGAAAAAACAAAGGAAAATAAAAACGTAAAATAAACTTTATAGAGAATAATATTATTTATATTTTTGTGAAAACAGCATAACCTATAGAGTTAGTTGACTCTTTCGTTTCGTATAGAAAGCCATAACTCCTTCTGCGTATTATCAGTTAGATAGTAATTACATTCGATATAATTATTTCTTTTTTAAAAAAATTACTCGAATAATTTATCGAGTATTGAGTTATTAACGATCGATCATATTGAAAAAGGACAAAGTCATATATTTCCAATCATCGATGTGAGACTTGCTGCCATTGAATATAAAATCTAATAAAATTAGTTTATTAATCTAAATTACTTATAGGTGCACTTATCAAAACAATTCATGATCCAAGTCAACCATCAACTGAAATTTGTTATAATCTTCAATTGTTTCACCAGAGTTGTCTTGAACTTGACAAAAATAGTTTCTTGCCTTCATTCAAACTCTTCATTAATCAAATCAACTCCTCATCGAAGCAAGCTCGTCCACGTTCTATCAACAATTATTTTTCTTCAGATATTCGTTTCCATCATCGCATCCGATCATTATTAATCGTTTATTCGTATATAAAAAATCGGCAATACGAATTATATCGTACAATCTTTTACAATGGCTTAAGGTTTTCTTACAAAAGACTTCCTACTACCAGTGTTGGGTAACTCCGGAGTTAACTCCCGTAGCAACAAGGAATTTTTGGTACAACTCCATAGCGACCGTCGGAGTTGTAGACCGTTCTACTATCGTCCATTTAAGCACAACGTTGTAACTCCAATTTTTGTCTCACGACTTCGACCTAACTCCATCGGAGTTGAGTGGAAAAAGCCGGAGTTGCCCAACACTGCCTACTACTAGTCGAACACATGATGGATGCCTTCTGTATTATGATTCAGAAGACACAACGAAATTGCGTGTTGGTTTTCTTCGATGTGTGGTGAAGTTCATCGATATCAAACAAAATAATGTTATGTTGTTTATCGAACAAGCAAAACTAACTTCAATTGCTGACATTTTGACTATTAATGGTACACAATATGAGTGCACCAATGTGTTGAAAGGCTATCTTTGCCCAACACGTCCATTTGTCTTAGTCAAGCCGCAACAAATCAAAGAAAAACTTGCTTTTCGTATTCAAGATAAATCAACACCAAACAAGTTTTTCTTTTATCGATATCCAAACTTCGCCGAGAGTACATAAACCCATATATTAAATTTTATTTTAATGTAATACGTGATTTGAGGTTGAAATAAGTATATATATTCCATTGTCTAGTAAAGACTGGTTTTAACAAGTGACAGAGAACATTTTTTTAAATTTATTTTCGATAAACTCAAGTGTTATTGCAAAGATACAGAGGAATTACATCTGGAGACTG